CCCCCGCGCTGTTGCCACCCGGCCCTGTCCGGATCTGAATTGTGCCTGTCGTTCCAACGCACCCGGTCCTCTCGGGTCTCAGACTCTTTGCCGTTAATTATCCAGTTCCTACTGAAATTCGGCCTTATATTCTTCCGCAGCTCTTCGTCCTTGGGCCAACGTCAGCTTGTATTTCCGCCCTCTGCATAATATCTCCGCTTGGAACATTGACTTGGACACTTTCCATACTTTGTCCCTTGGGGTGGAAAGACCTTCGATTGTTCTGCAGCGTTTCTCCTTCTGTATCACCCAAATTGACACTTTCCTACTGAGTTCGATCCAGTTCCTTTCCGCTTTCCACGACAATATGGGGATGTTAGTAAGGAGGAGCAGTTGGATGGGTTGTTCAGGGAACGGGGGTGTTAGTGAGGAGGAGCAGTTAGATGGGTTGTTCCGGGAACGGGGATGAGAAGAGGGATTCCAATCGGGTATAGGCTTCGGCCCAGTAAACTGTTGCTTCTACACAATGAATCAAGCAGTAGATTATGTCTTCTACTACACCTGTCGATCAGACTGTGCCTATGTCCGAGCTGTCCGGGTTAGTCGCCTTTCGTCTAGTGTGTAGTCACTGGTTCTCTGTTAGGGCAGCGAACGCTATCAACCACTGCAGACTTCTGATCTTTTTGTTTTTCAGATACCTTGGTATGCGGGGGCTTGTTCTAACCTTAATTGCTGTTGGTACCTTACTCGCTCCTTGTTCGCTCAGTTTTAATTCCATTCTGTGAAGACCAGTGTATCGTCTTGTAGTTTCGCTAATTTCTCCCGTGCAAACCACAGCTCCCCAAAGTTTTTCCTTCTTTGTTCCCTCTTGTCAGGCTGGCCTATTCTCTGTAGTGCTTTTAGCTCCCTGATCCATCTGGCTCTTATTTCAGTTTGAATTATGTTTTTCACTTCTGCCCATTTTTCTTCCGTGCTCCTCTCCTGTCCTTCCAAGGTCTCCCTCTCTGTATCGTTCCAATTTTAACGGATGTCCCAAGGGACATGTTCAAACATTTTCTGCAACTTTTGAGATTGTCAAATGCAAGAAGGCGGCGACGACCTAAGCTACTGTGAAGCGAATGCCTTGCATCCGATTCCACTAAAATTCAAAGGCATTCATAGGCCTTCCACGATTCAGACCCCAAATTCGATTTGCAGGGTCAGACACCCTGGCCAGGAAAGGCCGAGTCAGTCAGTTTCAGAAAAGTCGCAGTCGGGTACCTTAGCAGTCAAGTCCAACAGGCACCCCGCGAACAGTCACATCTTAGGGGCAAAATCACGTCTCATAATGAACAGTCACGTTGGAAAGTCACATCCCACGAACGAAGGGCAAATCCGTAGGCAAGAGTCATGACCCAGAGGCAGGAGTCACAGTCCACAGTCAAAACCGTGTGTCATAATCGAAAAGTCGTGATTCAAAGGCCCAAGCAGCAGCACACCAATGAAAATTCGGGAAGGTTCCAGGCCCTGGCATTTGGAAGCAGACATGCCGCGGGGATGTGGTACCGGAACCCAGTCAAGCCCCAAGAAGCAGAGGCTGGCACGAGTTGAAGTGCGATCCAAGACTATATAAGGACTGGCCAGCCTCCTCATTGGGCAGATTGCTCATTCACACGAGGTGTGGAAGTGCTGGTGCACCTGTGCGCCATTGTGAGGGGCGAAGCGCTGAGCCAGGGAGCTGCGCTGTTAGTGAGTGAGAGAGAGAGAGGGAGCAGCAATAGCTGCCCAGCGCTGGCATAGGGAAGCCAGCCATAGCTGCGCCAGTGCTAGTAGTGAGTAGTAGACTTCAAAAGGGTTAGTAGAAGTTAGCAGTGGGTGTATTTAGAGTTGGTCCTTGAGTAGTAGAAGGTGTGTTTGTGCATGCAAATAGGGTGAGAAGACACAGAGAGGTAGTAGATAGAGAGAAGTTCGAGAGATAAGGGAGAAGAGCTTCGGAAGAGTTACATACCTGAGTGGAGATACTGGATACCTGGGTTTGCGCTGTTGAGCGCCTGTGACTGAAACTCTTAATTGCTTGTATTAAAAGGGCCTTTACCCGAGTCAGACCCCGTAAAATTCGTGCAATATAAAGTGTCTATTCGAATAGGTTGTGTGTCTGTTCGTCAATTTGCTGTGTATGTTCGAAGGTCAAGACAACTGTAAAGTCCCAGTACTGAATTAAGTTCTGTAGGCAGTCCAGATCCAGTCCTACTGTCCGAAATACAGGCTGAAGGCCAAAAAGCAGCAGTACCTTTCTGGGATATCAC